TGTAGGCTACACCAGGGCCGGCATTATAGGTGGGCCTTATGGGGCCTGGCCTGCCCTACCCTACCGTACCTCCTTGCCCTTCCAAATACAATATTTAAATAGTTATTGTTTATTTGACCGAGACGCTCGCCAACCGAAAGACGCATCAATCTCACTTAAAGCATCCGAGCGAGCGAAACAGCGCCCCTCTGTCTCAGTATGTGTAGAACATGTATCTGATGCTGTCTGGACCAAAATAATATGGCATGTCATACTATTTCTGACCAGACAGCATCACCTACATGGGCTACATATAGAGTGGCGCTGTATCGCTCGCCCGGAAGCTTTCTCCAGTGATATAGGCTAGTTTAAGCAGAGAGGAATAAGCGTAGCGAGACGGCTCACTCGCGCCAAATTCTGTCCAGTATAATCCCAATGCGTTTCTATGGGAATAATATGCAGACCTAAACTTGTCGCATGCCTTTCCGCCTTTGGGACAAAGACTCCCATTATTAGGGTGGAGACATGAGCATCTCTTTATTATATAGAGATCTCTGGTTTCAGCCTCTTGCAAATTGGAAAGGAAAGGTAGCGGTTGCAAAGTGCACTGCTAGGATGCTGGATTACTCTAAAGTAAATTGATGTTTCACCAAAATTATATAATTACTCCTGTCTAAATAAAATCATTCAAAATACTCCATCAGTGAGCATGACTTAGCCTTAGAGGATCATTAGCTTCTTTATATATTTTTTTGCTGCTGATTGTTTCAAATCACCAGTGTGTTTAGAAAGCCTGCGATTTGGGTAGTGCGCGTGGCAATAGGTCTAGCTGATTGAGTTGCGGCTGTCAGTGAAAAGCATCTAAAATATGTGTGAAGATAATGTGTCTTGAGTATAATTTAAAATGTTGCATCAAGAAGAAGGGGAGGTGGTGTGTCGAAGATATTGTGCCTCTCTCTCTCCAGAAAGCATGCATATGTAGGAAAGTGCCCATTTGGCAACACCACTCATGTTTTCTTCGCCTCACACAAGTCAACAAAGTCTGTTTTTTAACATCCATTGCGAATGATAGTTCCTCGGTATTTGAAAAATATTTCCAACACTCCCGGCCTCGATAATCACCAAGCCGTGCCAAAGTGCAAAATATCACGATCTGATGATCCTATATATCCAGTGGAAACGTCATAAAAAACAGCTTTCTGTCCGGAGTTCACTGTTGCAAGTTCGTTAGGGACAGCGTCTGACCTTACCAAGTGATGATTTGATTCAATGTTGCACTTCACTAGGAATAGCTCAAGTCTAGACAGATAGAAAGGGAGGCTGACAGGCGGAAAAAAGAGATGAATGTGATTGAAAGAACAGGAATTTTCATCAGGATATTTTCTACAGGTTTAATTTTTTTCGGCTTTAGGGCTATGAATTTTATTTAGTTGACGATGGGAGTTATAGGCCTACTGCTGCATCTCTGAGTTCTATGCTCTCATTTATTTAGCCGCCAATGGCTCTCCGCATAGTTGAATAGTTTAATTTTAACTTTTAGATTTTTATCATTTTACTTCACATTTGTATGATTAACCAAGTGACAATGATTTTGAGAAACGAAAACGTTATTATTGAAATGAAACTGTTCCAAGAAAATGCGCATATAAAAATAATCCTAACTGGCACGCGGATCCGTAGAAATGGTAAGATAAATTGTAAGCATCCCCAAACTTGAAACTCACAAGCTGCATAATCGTCTTTACTATTACAGCCATGAAAACAATTGTGAATGCGCAAGCGCGTGCACACATAGGAGGTCCAGTGAAAAACTTCCCCCCTTATGGAAATGAAAGGCCCGTCCAACTGGTTCGTTCTGCCGCCGGGTCTTGGCTATTCGCGCACATTCGTCCACTCACAAAATATTTCAGCATCCAAACCTCCAACAGAGAACTGTGCACCCGCAATTTGATGAATGGAAAGAGACATCGGTTACAAAACACCTACGTGTATTATAATTACATTCTGCGATTGTCATTAGGCCTACACTTGTAGCCTGAATTGATGCATCCACTGTTGTCCATGCGCGCCTCGGGTCACCGCCACTCATCTCCGACTTGTTCGGGAGCGTCTCCACCACTCGTCTCCGCCTTGACGAAATGTAAGTGTTCTCCTCAAACCACAACGCAATTTGGAGCTTATACCACCTGGTTTCCAGTCAATTCGCAAAATGGTCATGTGGCTGACATGCAGTAATGTTAAATAATGGTGTAATTGCCTATAGTTTTTTTGGCATGTTGTATTAATTGTGATAGGCTCACGTTTTACCGGTATGGCGTACCCCCACTATTTATTTTGCCGGGACGCATACCGGAACGTACTGCCTTATGTTCACCCCTGCACATGAAATCGGACATTTCCCTCTCTTTTTCCCCACACAAAAAAAACGATTGGTACAATTGGTAGAATGTTTGGTACAAACATTACTTTCTAAATTAACTATGCCATTGCTAGTCCCATAAAACTTTGTGCATTATATACTGAGCAACAATATAAACTCAATATGTAAAGTGTTGGTCCCATGTTTCATGAGCTGAAATAAAAGATCCCAGAAATGTTCCTTATGTACAAAAAGCTTATTTCTCTAAAATGTTGTGCACACATTTGTTTACATCCCTGTTAGTGAGCATTTCTCCTTTGGCATATCAAAAAGCTGATTAAACAGCATGATCATTACACATGTGCACCTTGTGCTGGGGACAATAAAAAGCCACTCTAAAATGTGCAGTTGTCAGACAACACAATGCCACTGATGTCTCAAGTTTTGATGGAGTGTGTAATTGGCATGCTGACTGCATGAATGTCCACCAAAGCTGTTGCCAAATTATTGAATGTTAATTTCTCTACCATAAGCTGCCTCCAACGTCATTTTAGAGAGTTTGGTAGTACATCCAACTGGCCTCACAACCACAGACCACGTCTATGGCGTTGTGTGGATGAGGTGCCCATGGTGGCGGTAGGGTTATGGTATGGGCAGGCATAAGCTACGGACAACAAACACAATTGTATTTTATCGACGGCAATTTGAATGCACAGAGATACCGTGACGAGATCCTGAGGCCCATTGTCCTGCCATTCATCCGCCGCCATCACCTCATGTTTCAGCATGATAATGCACGGCCCCATGCCGCAAGGATCTGTGCACAATTCCTGGAAGCTGAAAATGGTCCAGTTCTTCAATGGCCTGCATACTCACCAGACATGTCACCCATTGAGCATGTTTGGGAGACTCTGGATCGACGTGTACGACAGCGTGTTCCAGTTCCCGCCAATATCCAGCAACTTAGCACAGCAATTGAAGAGGAGTGGGACAACATTCTACAGGCAACAATCAACAGCCTGATCAATTCTATGCAAAGGAGATGTGTCGCGCTGCCCGAGGCAAATGGTGGTCACACCAGATACTGACTGGTTTTCTGATCAACACTCCTACTTTTTTTTTTAAAGGTATCTGTGACCAACATATCTGCATATCTGTATTCATGTGAAATCCATAGATTAGGGCCTAATGCATTTATTTCAGTAGCCTGATTTTCTTATATGAACTGTTGCATGTTGCGTTTATATATTTTTTCAGTATATATTGAGTGAACACAAACGCCAGAGTCTGGTAACCATTAACAGTTATTTAGAAATGTTAAGCATTGTTTTCTCTCCACCACCACTGCTGTTGAAATGGCTTCTTGGTGAGCCTGCGGCAGTAATGTTCACAGCTTTAGCCACAGGTTGCGCACCTCTTTTAATTTGTATATTTTGTGTATAGACCTACATAATTGGATCTAGTCTTCTCATCACCTGCACTGTTAAATAAATACCACCTATTTTTGCACCAGATTTTCTGAAACCATATCAACTGTTGCTGCTCCACACCATCTAAAAAGGGTGCCGAATCCTATATCTTATCACTACCCAAAATCATTTTATTTTGCTTTTGAGTAAATAAAACTGCAATGAGATTTTATTTTACTGCAACAGTAAGGTAGCATGTGCATAACCCACTTTGGATGGAGTGTTGAAGAAATTAGCGGACATTTTGTCCAGTTTTTTGAAAGAGGACAAATATAAGCACCCACCAAATTATTATTATTTATATTCTATTGAAAAAATCTATATATATTTTAAACATCAAAATCATGTTCAATATTGAATGTTGTAATTTAGGAAAAGTAGCTTCCCTTTTGACAAACGGACCCAGTTATTTAGTAAAAACAAATACAGTACACAATTGAGTACAAAAACATCCCTGTCTACATTCACTCCACATCGTTAGAACATGTCATGTACATGGTTGGAATTACAATGGAGCTAGGGGCGGCTAGGCACATCCCTAACAAATCAAACCCTCAATATGCATGAGCAAATTCTAAGACATACAGTGTGTATACTGTACACTATGTACAACGAAGAGTGTGGCATGTTGGTTTTGGATTATAGTGCCACCGGATCCGAGACACATCTCTTAGTTAATATCCTTGTTAATCGCAAACCAAATTTCCTCAGATGTTCTCAGTCCACCATGCACCTCCCAGTGCTCCTCCTGACCATGGTAATGCCAGACTCAGAGGTAGTGAAGGAGGATGTTTAGGGGTAGGTAATTGGCTCAGGGCACACAGGGTCTCCCTCAACCATGTACCACACCTCGTTGTGCCTGTTCAGAATCTTGCTTGGTCTGTAGCACACACACACACACACACACACACACACACACACACACACACACACACACACACACACACACACACACACACACACAAGTATGTACAGACACACACAGTCACACACGTGCACACAAGACGCACGCACGGAGGCAAGCACACACACACACACACAAACGCACACACAGTTTAGTTTACACATACAATATAACGTAAAATAGTAAAACAAATTAAATATTAAAGTATGTTGCAGACAAGTATTTTGGTGGAATTGGATTGGATACTGGATATGAGTATATGGAAGTATTTGTCCCTGTGCACTCACCTGTCAAATCCCGCAGTGTAGTGGTAGTCTTTGTTGTAGGTGGCCTGGACTTTGTCTAGCTGCCTTTTCAGCAGCATGGAGTTTATGCTGGATGTCAAAGACATCATCCATCCGCCGTAGCTCCTCACGTACACTTTCATATCTGACATGTCTGTAAAGTACACCTGCACAGGGAAATCACAATGGCATAAAGATCATTAGCCAGCAGTCTTAAAAAAAATAGATGACATACCTGACATGGGTTCAAATAGTATTTGTGTTATTTCAAATACTTTTGCTGTGCTCGAATGAGCTTGTCTTGCACAATGGCACTAGTGAGTGAACAGAGTGAACATGCAATGACAACGACCATGTAGGAGTTGGCTATACAGAATTTACAGATCTGAGGCGTCCAGGTTAAAATCAGTTATAAAGAGAGTTAGGGCCAATCCCAAATGGACCCCTTGACCCTACACCCTATGCACTTGTCAGGTTGACACGTTTTTGACAGTCAGCAATATGGTAATAGCGCCACCTTACCCTCTGATGGGCTAAGTGGAAGTTTCACCATATTGCTTAAACCAATCAAATCCTCTCAGATCTCCACAAGTGCATAGGGCATAGGGTGTAGGGGTCTATTGGGCCTTATCTTGTCATCAGTGGGTTGGGGAGGAGTCATCTGATGGGCAGATGGCAGGACGAAGCTGAGGGTGTAAACAGATGACTGCGACATCCTCTTCGTCTCCTCGATTTTGACAATCACCGGAACTGTCATGTCAATGTTGACGCCTATAGGAAAAATGTATGGGTAAACACATCTTGCCAGGTAGACACACAAGCATGGAAACAGACTCATGCATGTGCATGTACACACACACACAAATATATTTACACGCACAAACATACACACACACCAGCCTCGTTGGATCCGGTGATGTATTTGAAGAGTCTCATGAATGAGGTGACTATTGCCTTGTCCATGAGGTAGGCTTCCTCGTCTGTCGACACCCATTTCACTGAGTCATAGTGGCGCACCTGCAACACAGACACAGACACAAACATTCACTCAGAGTCCTGTGCTGTAGAGTGCATTACAGATGTTGTAGGTTTGGGTTGGGACTGTGCACAAGTGAAACAACCCTGCATTACTGATCTACAACTCAATACGATACCCCAATGTCGTGAAACAACTGACATTGTGGGTGCAGGGGGAAGGGGCAGTCCATGGGTGGGGGACGTGGGGGTTCGGGAGCTGCCAAGTGGGTGAGGGTGGGGGGGGGGGACAAGCAACTTTGGTTTTTAGACACGGTGGGTGGGAAGGGGTGGGAATCCTGGTTTCTGGGGCTGGGGTTGTCGGGTGGATGGAAGCTTGGTAGCTGGGTGGGGGGAAGCTCCTGTTTTTACGCATGCAGGTACGTATCTTTTTTGTTTTCACAATTGTATGGAACATTATGATAAACTTTATTGTGATGAAAATGCTATTGTATTGTATCTGCAACCCTGACCTAAAACTAAACAATATAAAAACTGGTCACAAAAATGGTGGTGAAACAAACTCCTGACTTAGTTTTAGCCGCTATGTGCCGTTAATTTGTGGTTTACAATCGACTCACCTCATAATCATCATTCTTGCAAACCAGATCATAGAGCAGACATTCCTTGGTCTCGGTACAGAAGCTAGACTCAGAGGAGTTCCTATTTATAGGGATCAGTGGAAAACAAATCAATACGGGACAAAAGCATTTGATTTCGGACGGCCAGCGCTCATTCAATATATAAGCAGCGAATGATTTCTGAATTGTGTGGTTATGATGTGTGAGAAGAAATAACAGAAGTGTAACTTCCTTACCCAACTCTAGCTTCAGCAGTTAAGATGAGCAGCAAGCCAACCAACCCTGCAAGATAAACCCTGAAATACAGACATACAGTCAGTGTCATCACATTAAAAACCTGAAATACAGACATACAGTCAGTGTCATCACATTAAAACCTGAAATACAGACATACAGTCAGTGTCATCACATTAAAAACCTTAAGTACTCATCCCTCTTGCAATATATTGTAATACTTTAAAAGAAAGTTTGTAAACGATGTTATTACACGTCTATTTCTATAAAAATCACTCTTATTTTAATTATTTAACACCATCACAAATCAAACAAACCTTATCAAAGCAATGATAACCTATCATTTCTACTTACATTATGCTGAGTGTGTGTCTTTTAGATCAGCTCACTCTGGATGCATCCACTGACTGAGAGAAATGCTTGCAGAGAAACTATTTATACCAAATGGAGGTTATGAAAGAAAATGTTGATCACTCCCCCAAACATATGACACCCACTTCCCCCGAATAGCCCAGGGGCCTCAACTTTAATTATATACTTCAGTGGCCTCAACAAATATGTTCAATGGACTTAACCTGCTGAAGAGAAACAAAGGCGGTTTATAAATGGGTGTGTGCCAAGTTAGATAATGTGAGATGATCAGCGTTAATGTTTCTTTGCAAAACTAGTATAAGCTTGTTGTGAAAGAGGCTGTGACCTAGATTTGTCACATGTAATAGGCTCTTATATATTTCTGTTTCGTAATTGAAGCCTTTGCTATTTCGCAATAGGAGCCTGGCTGTCAAGTTTAGAGGAAATAAATAGCACTTTGATGGAGTTTATTCACTGAGCACAGTTGGGCCAAAATCACTAGTCTCAGTGTACTCCTACTGACGACCCGGTGGTGTGTTTAATGGCATTTTTCTTCCCTGCTATTCATCTACTTAATCCGTTTTTTTTATTCATTGTCTGTTCCAACCATCATCATCACTTCCTTTTATATGTTTTTTATGTGTCATTATGTGTCAATGAAGGTTCAATTGGTTAAATCCAACTTTATTATGATATTATTATGTCATTATAATATAAAGTAAAGTGCAGATATGCATTGGGCAAACATTTTCTAATTCATATCAAACCATATTCCCCACCTAAAACAGATAAGAAAGCACTTGTATGACCCCCACAAAGAGAGCAGCTTAGAAAACAGAACTCTGAGGTGTCTCTCAATAGACTAAAATGGCTTCCTCACCTCGTCTCCTTCCCTTCTCATGAGCTGACCTGAAGACACACCCAGGATAGGTGTTGAATACAAAATGGAGTTCCTCACTGTGAATCTGATTTCACCTGTCCCAGTTCTTTCAAATCAGTGCAGGAAAAGGAGACAAGAAAAGGAAGACACTGAATATCGAGATGGATGCAGTCATGGAATGAAACCTAACCTAAACAAATTAAATAAATAAAAGCATCCATGGCATGCACAATCAAAGTCAGTTCAGTTCAAATTAGAGAGATGCCCATTTGGGGTCAACTCAGGCCGTTCTGCATTCACAGTTAGAATAATGACAGAGGTCATGATCTTTAACAAACCTCTGACAACCAATGTGATGTCAGCTGGTCACCACGGTCATCCCTAGTTAACATAGCCACAAAGTCATAATTATAGCTAAACCCCACCCATTTCTGCAATTTATCTTCTTAAAGGATTTGCTTTCTTTCTTAAAGGACAGTAGAAACAGGTCATTCCCAGCAGATTCTCAGAGTCACACACCTTGATGCGCTCCTCCCACCAAGTTATAACACACTTGTCAAGTCATGTTTTGTAATCGTCTTTCCTTATAAATACTCAGGTAACATTTTATTTTAAATGAAGGCACATGAAAGTTAACATGTTCTAGAAGGCATTTCAGCAAAAAAATATTTTTTACGTTCAAATGCCTCTCCTGTGAAGTAGTGACGTGCGTCATACACCCAGTTTATGTAACGGGTCACATTTAACTAACAGTCTTATGGCTTGGGGCTAGAAGCTGTTCATGGTGCTGTTGGTTCTAGACTTGGTGCATCGGTTGCCGTGCGGTAGCAGAGAGAACAATCTATGACTTTGGTGGCTGTAGTATTTTTAGGGCCTTCCTCTGACACCGCCTGGTATAGAGGTCCTGGATGGCAGGGAGCTCGGCCCCAGTGATGTACTGGGCCGTACGCACTACCCTCTGTAGAGCCTTGAGGTCGGATGCCAAGCAGTTGCCATACCAGGCAGTGATGCAGCCAGTCAGGATGCTCTTAATGGTGCAGCTGTTGAACTGTAGAACATAACATAGAACATAACATAGACAGTCAATGATGACCTACTATTTGTATATAGTAACAACTCACGTATTTGCATGTTTTCCATAGGTTATCCCTCTGTAATTGTACAATTAAGATAAATATGTGTACCCTGAGTGTGTGTCATCAAAAAAGTAATCATGTCTATGAAAACCAGTTGGCTTGATTGAGAACAAATGATTGTGAGCACCTCTAGAGAACAACAATTTAATCAGAGCAAAATACATGTTTTCCAGGAGAAGCACAATGCACCTTTTTACACTGCTGACTGACCCATTTCAACATGGTGAAACAACTGCCTCAAGTCTGCCTCTGTCATCCCCAGTTTATGCACAAGGATGTGTATAAAAGAAAGACTTCACCTGTCTCTCTCTCTCTCTCTCTCTCTCTCTCTCTCTCTCTCTCTCTCTCTCTCTCTCTCTCTCTCTCTCTCTCTCTCTCTCTCTCTCTCTCTCTCTCTCTCTCTCTCTCTCGCTCTCTCATTCAGGGTGTAGGAAGTTCAGATGGAAGAATCGAAGGCAGATTATAAAATGATTAATATACTGTGGCTTCCTAAAGCCTACCTCAGTTCCATAGCACCATAACCACCATATCTCCAGTCCTCACACAGGCAGATGGGTTTGTCTGAACACGACTGCTTGATGCTCAGCCGCATTCAATACCCCTCTCTCCTGCAATTAGAATCCAAATCTCACCAATAGCCTCTTGCCTTTTTAAGCAGTCAGGGAATATCGTACTTATATTGTATAACATTATGCGTGTCGTTGTTGTGTTGTGTTGTGTAACTGTGCCCTGTCTTATGTGTCTGTTGTCTTATTATGTTCACAATGACCCTGTAAAGGTACAAATAATTTCCTAGAGAAATAGATAAAGTATACTAACATTACGGTCCAAAATAGTGATTTTATCATTCAATTTACCAATGCCTGGGAGGCATGGGGGAATCTAGACTTTGAAATAGCAAGAAAGAAATGTTGAGTAAGTCATTAGATTGAGTTTATGCAGATGAATAAGGTGCAGGCTCTGCCAATGTTGCCATAAGGGCTTTAAATTGTGTTTGCTCTCACAGTGTGTGTTAAATTGAATATGACTGTGGGACACCCTGATTAATCTACTGGTAACAAAGAGCATAATCTGACTGGATGCTTTATCACATGGGCTGATTTACCTTGGCTGCATGTTTTTGTCTGTGTTATGCTGCATATATTTAGAATACCAATTAAATGTTTAATTTGGGCCAAAAATAAGAGAAACTCTGTTATTATATATTTGCACTACGTGAACATCTCATTCCAAAATCATGTGCATTAATATGGAGTTGGTCCCCCCTTTGTTGCTATAACAGCTTCCACTATTCTGGGAAGGCTTTCCACTAGATGTTGGAACATTTCTGCGGTCCTTTCAGCCACAAAAGCATTAGTGAGGTCGGGCACTGATGTTGGGCGATTAGGCCTGGCTCGCAGTCAGCGTTCCAATTCATCCCAAATGTGTTCGATGGGGTTGAGGTCAGGGCTCTGTGCAGGCCAGTCAAGTTCATCCAAACTGATCTCGACAAACCATTTCTGTATGGACCTCGCTTTGTGCACGGGGGCATTGTCATGCTGAAACAGGAAAGGGCCTTCCCCAAACTGTTGCCACAAAGTTGGAAGCACAGAATTGTCTAGAATGTCATTGTATGATGTAGCGTTAAGATTTCCCTTCACTGGAACTAAGGGGCCTATCTCGAAGAGGCCCAGACCATTATTCTTCCTCCCGCAAACTTTACAGTTGGCACTATGCATTTGGGCAGGTAGCGTTCTTCTGGCATCTGCCAAACCCAGATTTGTCCGTCGGACTGCCCGATGTTGAAGCATGATTCTTCACTCCAGAGAACGCGTTTCCACTGCCCCAGAGTCCAATGGTGGCGAGCTTTACACCACTCCAGCCGACGCTTGGCATTGCGCATTGTGAATTTAGGCTTGTGTGTGGCAGCTCGGCCATGGAAACCCATTTCATGAAGCTCCTTACTAACAGTTATTGTGCTGACGTTGCTTCCAGAGGCAGTTTGGAACTCGGTAGTGAGTGTTGCAACTGAGGACAGAAGATTTTTACGCGTTACGCGCTTCAGCGGTCAATGGTCCTGTTCTGTGAGCTTGTGTGGCCTACCACTTCGTGGCTGAGCCGTTGTCACTCCTAGACGTTTCCACTTCATAATAACAGCACTTACAGTTGACCAGGGCAGCTATAGCGGCGCAGAAATTTGACGAACTGACTTGTTGGAAAAGTGGCATCCTATGACGGTGCCACGTTGAATGTCACTGAGCTCTTCAGTAAGGCCATTCTACTGCCAATGTCTGTCTATGGAGTTTGCATGGCTGTGTACTCGATTTTATACACCTGTCAGCAACGGGTGTGGCTGAAATAGCCGAATCCACTAATTTGAAGGGGTATCCACATGCTTTTGTATATATATATATAGACAGTGCATTCGGAAAGTATTCAGACTCTTGACTTTTTCCACATTTTGTTACGTTATTACGCCTTATTCTAAAATGGATTTTTTTTTTAAATCCTCATCAATCTGCACATAATACCCCATAATGACAAAGCGAAAACAGGTTTTTAGTAATGTTTTCAAATGTGTTAAAAATAAAAACAGAAATACCGTATTTACATAAGTATTCAGACCCTTTGCTCTGAGACTTGAAATTGAGCTCAGGTGCATCCTGTTTCCATTGATCATCCTTGAGATGTTTCTACAACTTGATTGGAGTCTTCCTGTGGTAAATTAAATTGATTGGACATGAT